CAGTGTGTGGTCTGTGCTGTTAAAAATATTCAAGATGTTGAAAGATCGCAGATCTCATCTCATTGGTAAAATCTTTATTGAAACCGCCACTATACGTTGAGATTTGGACCAATTTGGACTGAATCGTGGGACTGTACAGTTTACCGTTCAAACTTCTCAGATTTTGTTACGTGTAGGACCCTTACTATATGGTAATTAAAAATAAAATTGTCACTTTGCAATACCCAACAAATAAAACCATTTCATTTGATAATTTATAAAAATTTTGAGCTTAACATTCTCTAGCTATATTTGTTTTGCATACGTGCTTAAATCTAAACGTAGTTACATTTTCACTTTATTATTCATTCAAAACTGATTTAATTTTATCCAAAGGCGGTAAATAATAACTATTTTTAATTTACCGTTCTTAGGTTTCATTTATACATCCTAAATTATAACCATTTCAGAGACCATTACACAATTTTGATTTAAGAAGAAAATTTGTTATATTCGTGTCTAAACTAGCTAAACATTATTAGAAGTATAACACATACATAATAAAAAATTATACTTACTTTTATATTAAACAAAATCATAATAAAATTTTGATGAAACTAAAACTGGAAAACACGTGAAAGGCCTTTGTGAAACACTTCGGTTAGAGTTAACATCACAATCACATATATTGGCGCCAATCAATAAGGTCTAAGTTCTTTAGTCAGGCGCCAACGGTTGCTGGCCATAGAAAACTTAAAATTGATAGTCACTATAGGTTTTTCAAATTTTCAAGTAATTTTGCAAGGTTGTGAGAAGTAAAACATAGTTATGTTTTAATTACCTTTCAAAAACAATGTTTCTTTAGCAAGGTGTCATCAACTACGACACAACGTTGACAAATTAACATTATAAAGCAAGCTGTTTGGGGACTAACTGTAATGTTGCAAATGTAAGGTGAGGTTCTTTGCTTGGTGGGTATGATCTTAAACAGATTAATAAAAAAAAATATTTAGAAGACGTTAATCATATCGGCGGGTGAGAGTCAAAGAGGATCGGTTTTACCCAACGCCTAAGTCGCCTTAACGTCGGCACGTGGGACAACGATGGCACGTCGGGCAACGGTTGCAGGCGGGTTCTCCTCCGCTTCGGACGGTTTCAGGCCGCTGTGACAGGCTTCGGGTTCGGGATCGAGGCCGCGGTTCGCGCCAAGCGGCCGCTATTTGGGCTGGTGTGTTGGCGAAATCTCGGCATGGGCAAAATCGGGACTCCACTCCCACAGTCCCGCATCTTGAGCTAAACAGGATGGCGGTGCCGGAACACTGCTTCCGCCTGTGACCGGGCCGGCCCCATCTCCAACAGGTGTCATTGCGTATTGGTATCCTGACTGCACGTGTGGTGTCTTCGTCCTGGGTGATCCTAGCTGCTCGGTTGAGACCGAGTGCTGGTCGGGAGGTGTTTTCGTACTGGGTGGTCCTAGCTGCTCGGGCGAGACCGAGTGCTGGTCGGGAGGTGTCCTGATACTGGGTGGTCCTAGCTGCTCGGTTGAGATCGAGTGCTGGTCGGGAGGTGTCTTCATGCTGAGTGGTCCTAGCTGCTTGGGTGAGACCGAGTGCTGGTCGGGAGGTGTCTTCGTACTGAGTGGTCCTAGCTGCCCGGGTGAGACCGAGTGCTGGTCGGGAGGTGTCTTCGTGCTGAGTGGTCCTAGCTGCTCGGGTGAGACCGAGTGCTGGTCGGGAGGTGTCTTTATGCTGAGTGGTCCTAGCTGCTCCGGTGAGACCGAGTGCTGGTCGGGAGGTGTCCTGATACTGGGTGGTCCTAGCTGCTCGGTTGAGACCGAGTGCTGGTCGGGAGGTGTCTTCATGCTGAGTGGTCCTAGCTGCTTGGGTGAGACCGGGTGCTGGTCGGGAGGTGTCTTCGTGCTGAGTGGTCCTAGCTGCTCGGGTGAGACCGAGTGCTGGTCGGGAGGTGTCTTCGTGCTGAGTGGTCCTATCTGCTCGGGTGAGGACACATACTCTATGCAGATGCGTCGGCACCGAGCAATGAGTCGTGCGCATTCTGCACATTGACGATATTTTTCTCCTGCTTAGAATTCCTGATTGTTTATACCATGGAATCTTCTGTGGTTTCATTACCATTTGGAAATACTCTCTCCGTTTGTTTTCGCTCATGTTACTAAAGATACGGACCCATTCTTGCCATGTTTAATCTTTAATTTTTTTAAAAATTTCGGTACAATGTACTCTCTCATCAATCCTATTATTTACATTTCTCCCTTTTAACGCTAACCGGTCTGCCTCTTCATTACCCCTAATGCCTGAGTGACTAGGGACCCATATTAATTGTACTAGTATGTTCCTTTGTTCTAATATCTCCAATTCCTTCTTAGTTTCGAGTACAGTCTTCGAATTCCAATAACAAATGCCACTTCTCACTATACTTTGTAAAGCGCTTTTCGAATCTGAAACTATTAAGGATTTTTTAGCATTTTCTGATAAAGTAGTAAGAGCATACCTGATAGCTTGTATTTCAGCTGTGCAGATGGATGTTAAATCGCTACATCTTGCAAACATAGAAACATCTCTAGATTTATTATAAATTCCTATACCACAACGTTGTGTCCACCGATCCTTTGAGGCATCTGTGAATACTACCTCATATTCGTGGAATTTCCTTTGAACCATTTCATCAAATTCTTTGTGACATTCAGGAGAGTTTTTACTTAAATTGGAGTCTATGTAACCTGTGTATTTAATCTGAATGTTATAGGGATACTTAAAACAGGGCGCTCGATCATCTGTTTCCATTCCAGGTAAGAAAGCAAGAACAGAATCTATCCCTTCCAACAACGCTGGTGCTTCTCGTCTCTACAAATCCTGTTCTCTTCATTAAAATTTTCATATAGCTGCAACAAACTATTGCTGATTCTGTCTTGACTAAGAGCAAATTTCTTCGCCACAAATTTGGCACAAAGGAGGTTTCTTCTCAAACGTAGAGGCATCTCTGCCGGTTCAGATAATAATGCATTGATGGGAGTGCTATTCATGCAACCTGTAATTATTCTCAGGGCCTGGTATTGTACCTTGTCTAATTTCTTCATATTGTTTTTCGACAGTATCAACAACGCTTGACATCCATATTCTACGGCAAAATAAACACTAAATCACCACAATACACCAAAACACTTTTACTTTTACACTGGACGCGCGTTTCGCTAACCATGTTAGCATCATCAGCAGATGATTATAAACTCATCATCTCGTATACTCGTATATATCAGTTTATCTGCTGATGATGCTAACATGGTTAGCGAAACGCGCGTCCAGTGTAAAAGTAAAAGTGTTTTGGTGTATTGTGGTGATTTAGTGTTTATTTTGCTGTGTAACACCAAAGGTTCCAACCCTCAACTGTAATATCCATACTCTAGGTGAGATCTAACTATCCCTTTATACACATTGGCTAACACAATGGGGTCCGCTCCCCACCATAGTATATTGCTTAGAGTGTTGAATATTGCATGTTATAGTTTATAGACAACACATAAGACATGCGATGAGGTAGAGGAGAATAGAGATGTATCATAACTGGCTTGTTTGGCTTGTTGGCTAACCGAAATCATATATAGTTTAAGCAGATATATCAATAATTAACCTGAATTTTGCAGATGTCCTTTTTTAGATTTCCTGGCGGCATACCCATTCCCCATAAGGTGCTGGATACGCCACAGTACTACCCATCCTAACTAGATCCAATTCTCCTTCCTTTAATACATTTTCCTAGAGGTGTCTCAGACGTAGGATATAGACAACCTAATACCGAAGAGAGAAGAACGTATGGATATGGAGTGTAGAGTATGGACGCAGAGGGTATGGATCTAACCAGACGCTTGAGAAAGCGCTCTCTGCGGGAAGAAAAGGCTGGCCGGACGTTGGAAAACGCGGGGCCATAGTATTTGAGAAGAAGAAGAACGACTTTCACTAATAATAAATATGTAACGTCAAAGACACCTTGGGGTCAAGCGGACCCAACACACACTTTATCTTACGGCTGAAAGTCAACTAATTCAAATATCAACGAACGCTGCGAGCGACATCTGGATAACATGCTAACTTAAATTTACACGAGAGGGCAGCATAGTTTGGCGCTTTATTTCAAATTTGTTTACAGTAATATAAAGCCTGTGGTATATGCGACCCCACGGTGTCTTACGAAGGTTAATAAGGTATATATGTAGGCTTGTAAGTGACTTACTTACCAGGGTAATTGTCTATAGGCTTAGGTATAAGTGGTTCGTCATTTAAGTTGGTAAGCTGATTATTGTGACGACTTTTTCTGTCATTACCCAAACAGAAAGAAAAAAGTATTCGTTGGTCAGGGTTAGAGGAAAGCTGGGTTCGTAGGTAAGGCTTGGCTTGCGGTGACTTTATAATGTTGTTAAATATTAAAATAAAAAATGATAATATTTAGGCTGCAAATATTTTAATATCGATGTTAGATATTTATGCAGATATGGTCAAAGATAGTAAAAAGGGCGCCACTTACTTTGTTTATGAAAAACGTAAGTAAGAAACCAAAATGAAGAATATTTTATCACAAAATAGCTGGAATAAAGTAATCAACAGCAATTATGTTTATCAAGAATAAAAGTCAGAGATAACTATCCTACATTAAACATTTATTTAAAAACGAACACAAGTATCAGCTAGTTTCAATGATCCCAATAAAACTGTAAGTTATTTTAAATAAATTCGAATTTAGTCACAATATTCTTCGAACTATGCTACTTAATATAAAAACAGGTGAAATTTATGTATGTATCAATACGATGATGTTTCGAAACATGTCGTGTACAAAAACCTTCAAGAATGAATACATGTTAATAATTTTCATATAAAATGTCATAACAAAGTAAAAGTATACTGTTTGAATCAAATTATAACTTATAACTTTAACTGAAAGGTAATTTTGACTATAAATATATGGGATAAATAGTAATAATTTACTATTTATATACAATACATTAGAGATATTAAACTGTTGTCTCAAAAATTGTAAAATAAAAGAGTACCTTGTGTATCGGACTTAGGAATTATCTGTATAGTTTCTTATGATGTTGTAAAGAGGTAGATAGGTAGTCTCCAGACTAACAGAAGTGGAACCAGATGTCTATGGCAGCAGAAGTCTTCGATATCAGTAAAGGAACTTACGTTTGTTCCTTTACTTTTTTTTTTACCGTTTTATGTCACTTGGATCCATATGCTTCTGACAACTTTGATCAATTTCTGTCAGGAAAAAAAGGTATAAGTCAATTTTTTATAAAAATAACTAACATTTTATTATACAAAAAAGGTATCAAAAATACAACAGGAACTTTAGCCGAATAATTCTAATTTTCGTAATCCAACACCACACTGTCGTTGCCTTCATCCATTTCTGGATTTTCCTCAACCGTCGTCGTCTGATTTTGTTTTTTGGAACTTTTGTTTGCTTTTGTCTCATGGGGCATAGTTAAATAAAAGTCATGATGAATAGGTGGAATAAATGGTAGAAGTTGGGTTAGATTTTCCCATTTTATGTACGGAATCTTCAATGGAGTTGGATATAAGGGCTTGAATACGTTATTTAGCAATAAAGACGGTCTTCCACTTTTAAGTGTCGAGCAATTCTCGCTTTGACACTATGTTACGGTTATATATTTTAAAGGGGAGTTAATTTTCTTATATTTATTTTAATTGATAAATCTTGACAAAATGGTGAATGTGGTGATTTATTATTTTTATTTATAACCTTGAAGATATGACACGTTAATAAAATATAACAATACATTTCTTAATACATATTAAATATTTATTTATTTTCTATTTACAAGTAAATGTGCGTTAACTTTAAATTACAATTTAAATTCATTTTGTTATATTTTTAGCCAAATGTAATATTTTGTAAATAGTATCTTTGACTCGATATTTGAGGTATTACTCTTCAGGTTATGGAAGGGTAAATGCATCGTGTAAAGATTTCTTATTTATTTAAAATAAAGTTAATTAAAGTAATATTAATAATAACCACTTCATATACTTACTTTCGGTATTTTTTTACTTCTGTTCAGGTGGAAATATTCACTGCATTTTGTTAGCTGTTTGGCTGCTACAAAGAGAAATCATATTATATTAATTATATTATAAGAAACGATGTACATACCTTTTAATAACAATAATACCTTCAATAATTATTATTAATAAATAATCTGATTATGATTTTTGTTTAGATTAATTAATTTGTGGTTAGGGCAGAAACGTCAAATCATCAACGGGTCTAACGGTGTTGCCAGCTTCTTGAAGTTTTCTTAAATCATATTTCACCTCATTCATATTTAGTCTCTAAATAATTAATTTTAGCATTTAACTTATTTTAATACTTTTATTTATTAATGATCTTAAACCATTATCAAGTGTATCTAATTGTAATTGCAATTAACTTATTATTATTGTTTGATTTATTATTAATTTTCTTTTATTATCGGATTAATCCTGGCAACATTGGTACTTAACTGGTTGCGGAAATACCTAGGGATTTTATAGCTAAATTTATGTCACGAGGGGGTTTCGAGATTAAAATTCCAAGCGCCCACCTGTCGGTTGATTTCCTTTCTTTTCTTTTCGGCACGCTGGCAGTGAAGTCACGTATTGAGTTGAAAAATCCTTTCATTTGATTTTGGGAAAGGTTAATAATTCTCTACGGTTAATTGATATTAGTTATATCATAAAGCTACGGCTGGATTGAGACGAAACTAATAGCGTTGCATCTTTTGTATTATTTCCAAGGAAATCGCCCACAGTTTGAGTAAGTTAATTTTGGGTTACTAATTTTTATTGGGTTAATTTTAAATTAGGCACCTTGGTTTGGGTTTCCTTTTACACACCGACTTGCTTCCACTAGGGTTTTCACGACTGGCTAGCGAGGTTCCTGTTCAAACCAACAGATAAGCTAAGGGGAAGCCACATGGTTGGGCCTTTTGTTTGTGCGGCAGATCCTGGTGTAGGGGATTTTTGGGACCCTTACGAATAAAAGCTAAGTACCAAACTCTTTATTAGCTCCCTCTCGTTCCTGCGTACTTAATAAACATTGTACCTATTTTTTTGTTGCTTCTGATTAGTTTTAATTAAATATCATTTATTTAGTAATTATAAGTATCATTTATATAGTGGGTACCCCGTTTTCTTTCGTATTAAATTTTAGTAGAGTAGGTAGTTAGTCTAGGTTACACGAACTGGTAACCAGTATTACCAATTATTGCAAATATTTAATTTATAATATAGTCATTTTAATTTCCCTATATTATTGTAATAATTATATAAACCATTTTAAATTGTATTGTTTCAAATGATGAGCTATCCTACATCTGAATAAACGTATGTCTTGTTAATCTGTGTTTTATTGTGTGATTACATTGAACTAAAATTTTGTGTTTTATATAGGTACAATTTGAACCCACCTCCCAAACGGGAAGGTAGCAACATAGGTACAAAAGGTGTTCTTACTTTACTATACAAAAAAGAAAAGAAGTTCTCTTTTTTTGAATTGGAACGAATTGGACTATCTCACGCCACCTTATCGGTTTCTTTTTAACGTCCTTTTTTGGGTCAATTATTATCCTGTTAAGATGATGAAATGAAACAAAATCAGTTTTTTCCATTTCATAAGCAGTGAATTTTTTAGATGTTTTTTTATAACTTTAGTCCAGTCCTCTGGAACAAAAACGGCTAATAAAATTTTCTTGGCTTTCTCAATGCGGACAAAAGAGCGATCGCAGTCCATACATGAATGTCCAATTTCAAAAAACTTGTGATCTATTTTTTCCAGGCTAGTAGATTGGACTAAATACATAAACAACTCGCAATATTTTTGTTCTATTGTTCTGGCCCCCACATTGATCACTATAACATAGCAAATCCACTTTTAGGAAGACTTTTGACATACTAAAAATAATGGTTTATAGAGCATCTTTATAATACTGTTTTATAAAACTCACCTTAAGTAAACAAGAACCTATTTCCTGTGAACCTCTCTGAGCTATAGTTTCATTCCAAATAAACATCTGTAAAATTCCAGTAATCATGTCATGGATGCAAAA